TTCATCTGTAATTTCCATAATGGTGAATTTCAAGGAGGGCTGAGAAGGGTTATGGGAGATGAATTAGGTTTTTAGTGAGCTCATTAGGAAGCCAAACAGAGTTTAGACAGCAAGGCGGTGAGTGTGGCTGTAATCAGTTCTGCTCGCTTTGTTCCCTGCCTTCGGGACATTTTTCGAAAACTTCATGGCAGGGGCTGATGAGAATATACTGAGCAGAGGCTGCAATCTGATGGTTGACTTGTTGATTTGTAAACCTCTTAATTCATTTTTTGTTCAATTTAATCTTTTCTTTCTTAAGGAAAATTAGCTGAATGTTAGCCCCCTTTGCACTATTCACCTCTTAAATTATGCTCATTTTGAAGAGCTTGTTATGCCTGAATAAACATGAAATGACTTGGCATTTTCCCATAAGAGGCACACCCATTTTAACACCATGTATTTACCATTCCTGGAAATGTCTCATTAACTTCTGAAAAATCTGTGAGCATGATATTTTTGGGCTACTGTAACACACCTCTTGGCAGTCACAGAAGGCAGTTTGGTTAATGCCTCATAATATCCATTTTTATTCTCAACATGAAGAAAGGCTCTCTATAGAAAATTGATGCAGTTTGCTCTGCTAATTTTCATGCTCATTCCAATTAATTTAACATGACCCAGATTTTCTTCCTCGGGCTCATCCTGACTAATTAGTAAGGCAACACCTAGAACAAGTTCTGTTTAATAACATTGAGGAACACTAGTTGTGAGTGATTTTGATGCTAATAAAGCTATTCACTGATGGGACAGATATTTGATGTCAATTATGGTATGTAATTTAGAAGTCCCAATGTGCTAGATAAAGTATAGAAAAGCTAGCAAATCACTATGGGAGATAATGATATTTTTAAGACTTCTACAGCACCTAACTATCCTCTGGGACCAATTAGTTTATTTTTTTGTTACTAGTAGGATTGTTAACTAATTCTACAGTAATGGATGGGGTGGTGCTGTTGAGGAACTACAATCTGTGAACCATCATGGTTACATTTAGGTCTTCATTATTTACGGAATTTTATCACATAAGAGAAAATCAATCATGAGTATCAGAAGCGACACTAGTCGAAGAGAAAAGGATGGCTTCCCCACCTCCTTGATTTAAGGTTCTTTTTTTTTCATTTTTGTCATTCAGCTGGATCATTTTAAGAAACAAGATGCTCAGGATAAAAAAAAAATATGTGCCTCTAATATGAGGCTTCATTAGATCTTTATAAGATGGAATTATTAGAGCTGATGATTCCCATGCCATAAAAGTGGGCCAACATATCTGCAATTTGTGGGATGAATTATTTTCTCCAATCCCACAGCCCAGGGGTTTTCAACCTTTTAAAACAAGTGTACCCCCAGCAGACGGACATGGGGTTGGGGGTGAGTGATGTGCAGAATGACGTGGAGCGGTGTCAGTGCAGGGTGGTGGATGGTGGTGGCAGCCACTGTATGCGAGCTTCCTCCCTCACTCCCCCATGTCCGGCCAGCCAGGTGGCACCTGTGCGGCCCACAAAGGGGCACCACTGCCCTTACCCCACCCCCAGCCGTGGGAGGCAGCGGCACAGGGTGGTGGGTGGTGGCACTTCATCCTCACCTGCCCACATACCCCTAGGGCCTTCTCAAGTACCCCCGGGAATATGCATACCCCTGGTTGACAACCCCTGACACAACCCACCAGAGAAGGTATACATCTCAGCACGCATAATATAATATAATACAAACAGTGTTTGTATTTGAGCAAGGGATCTTATTCTGCAGAATTCCAAAATGACTATTAGGCAGTAATAAAGGCCTGATTCTGCCCATGTAAAAGTCAGTGGTTCTGATTCTGTATCCCCTTGTACACTGTGAAACTATTTTCACATCCAGAGTGGTAATCAAAAACAATTCATCTTAATTCTTCCCATAGTAATTCACACCCCTTTGCCCTGGTGTAAATGGCAACAGAGTGGATGGCAGTAAAGAATGAGGTCCGTAACCTGGCTTTATTTAATGGGAGGAGGAGCAGGCCAAATTAAGAAGTGGTCCAATTTTGAAGTATTATCACAGTCTATATTGAGAACCTACTCTAATTTATGTCTATAGGATTTAGGTCTGAAGAAAGACTGAGGGAAAATAGTGTAAAGCCTTCAGGATTTTCTCTCAATAGTTGGTGAAAAAAATTATCCAATTTTTTTTTGGAAGATGCTAACCTGTTTCCTTAAAGCCTGTTCTTGTTCAGTTAAATGGAAATATTGCCATAGACTTGAATGCAAGCAGACATAGGGTGGAATGTATGCCTTTCCCCAAAGATTGTTTCCATATTATTGCTTTCTGGGTTTTTTTGCTATGCTTTTCTAAGGACAAGGAACACTAATCACTTCTATACTCCCTTCCTAAAATATGGGATCTGAAACAGAACAACAGAGGTTATAGAAAATACTTTCAGAAGTTTGAGAACCATGGAGTGGTCAATATGGACCAAAATCAAAAAGCAAACACTCAGTAATATAATGTGAGGCAGAAAAAGTGATGGTGGTGATGATGGCAATGATTATGATGATAATTTCCCTTGCAAAGTTTTACTTCTCAGTAATCTCAGTGCTTTTTTTAGTAGAACCTGTACTCCTGACTCACTCAGTACTGAAAGCTTCCAGCCTCAGCAACTTAGTAACACTGCCTTTGAATCAATGACAGAAAAGAAATAGAGACAAAATGCCTTGCATCTCAGATTGGGATATGGGGAAAACTTATGGAGAATATGCAAAAGGAGAGAATAGGAAAGCAGACAAAGAAACGGGAAAATCTAAATGGAGGAAAGGGAAGGAAAAAAGTGGGGAAAATTAAGAAAAAAACATGTATTATCTCTTAGGCGCTGAGGAGATTACCATCTGGTGATAGCATAAAATGTTTGGGTTTTTTTTATTATCCATAACATGGAATTATATTGGTATACGGCAGTTTAAGAAACTTAAGAAAGGGTACACAGGTGCCAAAAGTTTGAGAACCATCATACCCAAGAATGCCCCAATACTAGTATTGCAATTAGTATTGTAATTCTCAGCTGATACACACACACGCACATATGTATGTATATATGTATTTCACAAATTAGCTTAACAAGATGACATTTGTGAAATTAAGGAGAAATATTTTAAGTATAAAATTATTGTTTTTCTTTAGTGAGTGAGTACAACGTTCTTTATTGATTAAACATTTTTAAGATGGAAGTATTACAAGAAGACAGACTACTGTTTTTCTGTATGGGGCATGTAGCTAGACTATATGAAGTAGCTCCCAAATGCAGTATATTTAGGAGCACAGTTTTCTACTACTACAGTGATTCCTAGCTAGTGTCAGACCATGACAATTCTGTTGTTCTGGGTCAGCAGTGAATACCTCACTCAAATGGTGCAAAGTCAGCTGGTTCTTAATTTTTTATCTCCTCCAGAGTGCATTCACTGACTTTATCACTGAGAAGAATGACTCCCTTGCCTAGTGTGATCAAGATCTGGAAATCTGCTGCATCAGCATATTTAGTCCAGTCTGCTGCTTGATTGGTGGGGCTCAGATCTGATCTTACGACATACATGTCAGCTGTCTATTAGGCTAGGTGAACCTAAAATAAAAGCCTTCCTGGGGAGAAAACTCAATTGCCTCTTCCACCGCTTGAAAAAGAAATGTCTACAACTTTGCTCAATGGGACTCATTTTGAAGCCCATCAAGTTAGGTCCTTTTTCACTGGGGGTGAGGGACTATGGATGATGTGAGTCACCCCGTCTTTCAAGGAACTGATTTCACTTCCTGTCCAATGCTTCCTAACGTGGTGAAATACTTGATTCAAATCAAATGATAGAGAACAGCACCACATTCCACAGCGGCCCTGTCATTTCTTGTCTTGAGCCATGACCTTTTAAACAGACAATACTAAAAACAAACCAATATGTTGCATCCTTGGCATTCTCTCTCCTCTATTTCCAGCAACAATTCACAGAAGTGCTTTGTAAAATCCTTCATTTCCCACTGTTTCCACTGAGTTGTTTTACTGCTTTGTGTTCATTTTAGCTGACTACTCAAACCAGGCTCAGAGCAGAGTAGAAAGATGACGGTAGCGGTGGTCTCTCTTTTCCCTTTTTAGGTCTGATCTACACTACAGCCTTTTTCCTACTGGCAAAATTATATGCCCATAATCACAGCATTCCAGCAATACCAGGTCTCTGACTAAATAAGGCTTTGACTACCACCCAACAGCCACCAGAAAAGTCATATAGACACACCAATACCTTCTGCTGGCTGCCATAGCCCATTCAAGAAATGTATTTTCACTGGGTGCAGTATACACCTTGCCAAAACAGCTGATGAAGTGTAGCTCTGCACAAATTCTGGAGGCAGAAACAGCTTAGTATAGAGGAGGCATTATTACTCTTTGCTGCACGTACCTCAAACAGTCTCATAAATTGGGTAGGAAGTGGAAAGGTGAGATGGTTGTGAGATTACTCAACGACTGGTTATTTTTGGAGCTTGCCAACCAGCATTCCCCTGTCTGCAGCCTTGCTTCTTTCAGTTCTATAACTTATACGCAGTAAGGACGTTTTAGTTTCATAACTGAGGCTAGTTCCTAAAAAGTTAGGAATAACAAAGATGCTTCAGCTCTTCAATGTTTGCTCTTAAAAGTGTTAAATTGTTTCCTGAACTCAAATGTAATGTTTAGGAAAGTCTTGTAACTATATGTAAACCTCTAATACATGTATGCCATTGAGATCTATAAATCCTATGTTATTATCAGTGTCCTTCAGAATCGTTACCCAGAGTTATTGTGGACTGATCTAAAGCATGGTTTTGTTGGGCTTTGGATCAGGCCTTTTACCTCAGTACCCTCAGCATGCTAGCTAATACATAAACAGTATTCTTAAAGTACAGGGTTTGACTTAAACTTAGAAAAGCAACGATTGTCAGTGTTTCAACTTAACCCTTCGCATTCTGGCATTTTCCAGACTGCCAGCCAAATGAACACTTTAGGAGGAGGTGCAAATATATGTCTGCAGCACCCAGAGAGTTAATCCACCCCATTGTGCATAAGTGTTGGAGCTCTTATGGTATGTAAGATCCAAAAAGTTTGGAGTTATTTCGTATTTTTCTTAATATACATTCACAGGAGGCATCTTGCTTGGTGGTGTATTTGCTGTGAATGTGTATCAAGATTTGTATTATGAATAAAATACAAGTTTATATGCAGTTTATCTATAGACAGTGCATGGTAAGGCCCTTTGTAACTTTCTCCTATTGATGCACAGTAGCTACTTTTAAACTTTTAATATTCTCCCATCCTCAGTTTTTGTTTTAAATCCCAAAACAGATTAATTCACTTTATGGAATTGTGACCTAACAAATGCCTTTTAATGACTGAAGATTTTCAGGAGCAAAATGTATTATATATATCTTTAGGGAGCAAATGTCTATGTTACACTTCCAGCCCCTAAATTTTAAAAAAGAAATGGTTATAAAATTATAACTGACTAAAACTGAGCTCTTTTATACAAGATTTCAGCTGGTGCAAATTTTTTAGCTGAGTCACAAGGCCCTAAAGAGAGGAACTTCTAATGCAATCATTAATAGTCACTAACTATGACAGCATTACTGTGTACCAATGTAAGAGAGATGTCTATTTAAAAACATCATCGGTATCCAAGTGGTATTGGTATTATTGGTGTCTTAACAGTGGCCTATTCAAAACTACACTTTATTTAAGTGTTCTATTGTTTGAATTTTTCAAGAATTACAGGGGAAAGGAGGTGTGCTAAAGCATTATTTTCCTTTTTGTTTTCACAACTATGGATGAAGTGAATAAAATACATGCATGGTTACCTTTAAAAACAATTTTGAGAATTAGAAATGATCTACCCATTAAAAATATGGAGAGTACATCTTCATATATGAATAACAACTGCCAAGTATTACATTGTAAATATTAATAAGCTAACTTTGAACATAATAATGAGGTTGTTTTAGCTACAGGTAGAATTTTAATTGCACTTATAGTTATTTGGTCCACATTCTTTGATATCATTAATATCACTGATAACAGAGGTAGGAAGACATCAAGAATAGCAGTTAATAGTTACGTAAAACAAATAAAGCTTCTTAGTTCATGCCCATTTGGTGCTATCTTGGATTGAAGTGGTTTTATTCATGCTAAAACAAAAATAACAACACTCCAGTTATCAGTGAATGTTAACAAGATAGAATAGAGGGCAGGGTAGAAAAAAAGAAAATAAATATTTGTCACAAAAAATGAAGAACATTTTTATCCTCTAGACTGTTGATTCAAAGGATACTTGTCGATTCAAAGGTTGCAGCTGGTATTCTTAACAGATAACTATGAAAATGTTAAAAATATGGCAAGAATTATTACAAGAAATCCTTGCCTCTCACATCATTTCTGAACCATTGCAGCTACAACATCTCTTTTACACTACCAGAAATTTTACACTAAGAGTATAAATAAGGAGAGATTTAAAGGGAATTTCATTTAGACTTCAGCAGAAGGACATTTTGTGTGACAATATTTAGCATGATTAAAAATTTAAACAGAAAAACAGCTATTTACATTTACAGTTACTTGAAAGTAATTACTAAAGCAGACAAAATACTTAGATCATAATTTAATAATGTTTTCTTCCAGAATAGGTGTCAAAAACTGTGCATAAATTTCACAATTTGTGCTGAGGGGGAAAAAAAGAACTAGCTAAAATAATGTAAAGCAAGTCATTGAGCACTTCCCTTCCACACCAACAAGGTGCAAAGTGACTTTCACTTTTAAGAGGAAGAACATCATAAATTATAATTAACCACAACTATTAATGTACATCTCTTTTAGGAATCATGATGTACTTGCATGTTTGGTCAAACAAAACACGAGTCTTGTCCTACATTCCTTCACTAGGCAAACCTGCAGTCAGTGGCAATGCTGCTTGAATAAGGAGTGTGTTGAATGGCCGTTTTGCCAAAATAAGAGCTAGATTGGGCCCTAGGTTTGTAACAGAGACATTTTGCTCTGCACCTTTGTTGACTTCTCAAAATGGCTTTTTCTCCAACTTCAAGGATCTTAATTATAACATTTGCTGGCTCAAAGATTAACTTTTAGTATTCTAGGAAAGGCTTTTGGACTTCAGTAACCTGATCAGCATGGTCTTCTTTTGGTCTCTCCCTCTCTCTGGTTCTTTGTATTGCAGGAGAGATGATAGTATCTGGCACATTCCTTGGATGACTTGAAGATAGCAGCCTTCTGTGTTTGGGGCTGAAAGATTGTGAACTCTTATGTTAGCAGAAATGCCACACAGGGGAGGTGAATAGAACATTAAAAAAGCTTTAGCTTTAGGTAGTGCAGTGCAAGCAGAGTTGAATTTGAGAGCTGGGACTTAAGTGGACATTTGTCCCTGCTTTCCTCCTTAATAAAATCTGAGTGTTAACTGTGGATAAGGGCATTTGAGAGATCACTAAAAATGAATCATTAGAGTGCCCAGAAGAGCTTTATTATGATGTACTGTGAAGAACTTTAGAATATACTATGTAGTTTTATATGTGCTTATCAGATGCATGTATGAGTTACTGAGTATTACAAGAGTAAATTGTTTTGTCCTTTGCTGCAGAGCCAGAGCAGTTCACTGAATTAAAACTGCAGACTAAACTTTTAAAAATCTACTTTTCTATTACCCTGTGAAAACAACTGTTGATAGAAACTGCAGCCTTTCGAAGCATCAACATTTATCACATATAAAATTTGAAAAAACAATTTAGCATAGAAATACTGAATTGGATTAAGAGTTAGGATGACCAGAAAGTAATATCCAGTTTGAAAGCTGGCTCCCCAATATGAGGGGCCTAAAAATGTCTCAGAATTATAGCTTAGTGGCTGACCATGGTAGCAAGCACACTCACAGGAAGAAGTCTATTCCCATAATACAACAAAGATGTTACTGCTGAACAGTTAACCAAAATGAAAAAGCTATGGAAAATAAATATTAAACTATATTATTATACTAACTTGCCAGCTCAAAAAAATGCAGCCACATTTACATATGTGTCCATCTGTCTGTTTTTACACTTTATGTCTCCAGCCAGTGGGTGAAGTGGTTTTAATCCAAGCTGCAGTCTGGTTTTCCTCCTAACATGTTATATTTTCTTTTTAATGTGTAAATTATCTGTAACTGGACGTACATTTCTTTGATAGTAGCTAGTGCTTAACTGTCCTTTTAAGTAATCTCATCTAGGTAGTTTTAACTGGAGTAAGCAGTAGAGTTCTCCATGGATAATTTTTGTTAGTTAGCAGATTGTTACCATCTCAGTGTTGCTGAAATCTCTAATCTTGGGTCAGCGTGAAGCTGTGGTGGTTACAATCCTGTTGCCTGATGCAGTGTGAATGGAAGTGCTTTCTGTCAGAAACATGTGGTCTCTTCAGTGGAGAGCCTGCGTAAATCCTGTGTAAATAGAGGGAGGCTAACAAAGGATGAGCCCCTGCAGCTCAGAGCATTTGGAGCCATTTGGGGGCTGAATTTGCTAAATGCTGCTTATACCGCCTGAAAAGTTGAAGAGAAAGGAGCATAAAATCCCTTCTTTTTTCTCTTTCTGCTCCTACCCTGGGGGGAGGGTGTTAAGGGCCAGAGAAGCCCGAGGTAAGCCTATGAAGACTGTTTTTTCAGTGCTCTTTTGAGTGTGAAAAAGGTGGCATGGGTCACTGTCCCCTCTTTAATGTTGGAAAACCCACACAGTTAGTAAATGTTGCATGTAAACTAAAGCATTTCATCTCTTCTCCTGCACTCCACGGCAGTGGGCCATGAACTAGTCACTTGAAAATCACAGAAAAATTTCGCTTTAACATGTCCAAATAGTTTAGCACAGCAGGATGGTAAGAGAGATCAGTAATTAGCAGTTTTCTTTACTGTTCCCTATAAGCATAGTGGAACATTTTCTTGCACTTACTGTGAAAAAAAATGTTAGATTATAAAGTACAAAATCCTTAATCTGTTGATTGCAACAAGACTCTAAAATATTACATGCGCACATGATAGCCTTCCCCTAAAACAAAATATTATATAAGTATTTGCTTGACTTTTTAGCTCATGCAACTGTTGGATAGCTCTCCAGGCACAAAAAAAGCACCAGCCTTAAAAATTGGTAGTTATGAGCACAAAAACCTGCACCTTTCTCTTGATTTCAATCTTAAATTAAAAAAGAGTGCCAGGAAGATAGAAAGAGGAAGTGGAATAAACATTACAATTCCAGAAGTAATTTTTGCCTCCCCTTAACCACCAGCTATTTTTGAGGTATTCTGATGTTTGCACAGTATATGCAAACATTAGAATACCTCAGAAATATCATGGACATCTTCCCCTCCCTGAAGTCAACGAAGCAAAGTATTTTTAAGTACTTCATTGAAAGACACAGACTATAAAGATATAGGGACAGCAACAGAAAATGTCACAATGTACATTTTTTATTCTCCCTCTTGTGGTCAATATACTTCTCTCATATTTTCCCGGATAGATATATAACTCCTTCACCCACTGCTAAGTGTCATGAGGCATATAAAGAGCCAAATTATTCCTTACTGAGGGGAAACACACTCACGTGCGGCTAGAGGAGAAGACTGGCTTTGTGGTTGAGGTGCAGGGTGGGAAATCAGGAGATCTCTGTTTTGTTCTTAGCACTCTCAGTGATTTCCTGCATGACCTTGTAAAAGTGACTGAGGGCTATTTTCTTCAGGGCTCTTAGGTGGGTTCACAGTGGGGAAGTACAAGAAGTTTTCCTTTTACCAGTCTTTTGTGGCCTTTGTAAAAGAGTTGCAATCCTTGGAAAGTACAGGCAGGATCTTCTTCTTGCTGGTGTTGGGAAGCAGCATTCCCTCTAAGATGCGTGGTGTGCACGGCTGCGCAGCTGCACTCATGCCACACTGCCAGGTGCACCTGCACAGCCGTGCACACAGCGCAGCTTAGAGGGAACACTCTTGGGAAGCCCAGGTAGGAGGGGCTTATTCCTGACACCTTCTGTGCTATTACAGCAGCAAGTGAACTGGTGCTGGAGGGGCATAAAATATACT